ACAAAAACCCCCCTCAAAAAAAAAAAAAAAAAAAAAAAAAAGATAGCCATTCATAAACACTCATTTTATCATTTTATTCCCTTAAAGAGCACCAGTGTATTTTAAACCAAAAAGTGAGAAGGTGGGGGATTATTTCATGTAACAGTGCTATTATGAAAAGGCACCACTTGGTATATAAAAAAGCCAAAGTATTTCCAAATCATGTATTTTTGTTTCTGGTGTCTTAACTATTAGATAGGATAGTTAACAAAAAGCTAATAACCTTATTAACTAACCACATTATACTCCTATTCCCATCATTCTATGCCTTAGTTTTTCCATATAACAGAAAATAAAAACAATGTAGTACATGATCTGTTAAATAAATATCTTTTCCCAAACTTCAAAGAAAATAATCCAGAAATAAACAAGAAATCAAAAATTCATCTGATACATTTGCAATAGTCTATCCCTGTAGAAGACTGTGGAGGAGAGAAGGCAAGGGGCCTATTTTCTAGAATATATTGAGGCACATAGGTTAAAAGTTTCTCAGGCAAATTCATGGCTAGAGCAAAGCTGAGAGAGCTGAGGATTTTACATCTCCCCCGAAGCTGATTTCTCAGTCACATCCAATTAAATATTCCAAAATATGTCCTTAGTCACTGCTATCATCATCGTCGTCATCATCAGATACATCATTTAAAGGAGACTTCAAGGATTGGCTGTAAGAGTCTGATCTAGTAGGCTGCTGGCATGTGGCCATGTCCCCAGTAGAAAGCAGGTCATAGCAGAAGTCACAAATCCGAACGGGCTTAGAGGACTGGCTGGGAAGAAGAAATCGCTTTTCAGAGCAGGGCCCACAGACAACAAAACCACACTTGCGGCAATGGTGACGACGATTAACAGGTGTGAATTTTGCTTTCTGACAACGCATACATACAGTTGCCTCAGAGTCAGGAACCCAGACAGCAGCATGTTCATTACTGGGTGTCTTCCCACTCTTGGAGAGTAAATCAGTAACACATTTATTTATGTGATTCATCCACTCTGATTTCTCAGTGGCAGTAGCAGCATAAACTGCAAATGATTTAGTTGGTGTCTTGATAAGCCATCCATTCCGCAAGTCTCCCTCATCTTTGATGGAATCAATGGTGACATTTTCCAAGGGAATAATATGTTGTTTGTTGTATTTTTTCTTCTGGATGACAATATTGCCATAAACAAGAATATCATTAAATAAGAAAAACTGCCTTGCTTTGGGTTTCTTTCTGCACAACTTAGTCAATACTCCTTCTCCGATAAGAACCCGTCCAGGTATAGTTAAAGGTTGACCAGCTGCTCCAAAACAGTTTTCCACTATACTTATACGTCTAGTATTTGCTTCACTGTTTGCCAAACGATCCACCATCTTTTTTTGCTACAGCCTTAAAAGAGAAAAAGAAAACAAAAAAAATTAGCATGTAGGAACCATAAATTGCTAGCAGTTAATAAATCATATAATCCTAATTTAAGACATCACTGCTTTTACAAAAAGGAAAAATACTACAAATTTCTTTCCCTCTTAAAATAATCATTAAGCATATACCAAAAGGACTAATATCTCTCAAACTTTATAATCATCAAAAACACTCATTAACCTAGACAAGCAGATGGCAAAACAGTTATGTTGCTAGACCATAATATAGTTGACCGTGGTTCGAGTCTGAGACCCAGTAGCTTAAAACTTATGCTGGGGGTGTGTGCATGTGTGCCCAAGATCCTGAGAGGAGAATGGAGAAGGGACTGCGGTGTGACCATCCCTCCGGGGGATGATTTCTTGCTTTCTGTCTCTCTGTCTCTCTCTGTCTTTCTGGTGAGCGCAGGCGCCCTACAGCAAAAACCTCTCAAAGAAAAAAAAAAAATTCTCTCTAAAGAAAAAAAAAACAAAACACTTATTAACTATCTCCACAAAGCACCATACTGGATAAGCAGGTATTCATAAAAGTAAAAAAATTTTTAAAAACACAAAGGAGTAAAAAAACAATTGAGCAATTAATATAAATCATCTCTGCACAATAAACCCAGTTCCATAAAACTTAATCTCGGTGGGGCTCTCAACAACAGAAGGCTAAATACTATATAAAGTAAGCAAAACAACTACTATTTTCCCAGTGAGCTATTTCCAGAGCTAAGGCCTTAGTTCTCTCATCTGAATTACTGACACCATTGCACAACATGTCTCCTGCCTTCGGTCTTAAGCTTAAGTCAATCTTAGGCGGTGATCTCTAAAATGCTAATATGATCTGCCACTGTCAAAATGATGCCTTTAATCTAGAAAACACAAGATACTGGGCATAGTGTTGAAGACCCTTATTCTCTGGTTTTGCTTATTAGCTCCCCATTCTCAAAGTCACTCCTCACTTCAAATATTATATCCTACCATTGCAGTCCAAATCACTGTTTCCTTTATGACCTATTACTCAAGTTAACTCTAATCACCCTTCAAGACTCCATTTTTAACTCCCCAGGAAGATTTCCTTAAACTCCATTACTAGACTAAAAATCTTTGTGCTCTCCATATTCCATTATCTTCTAGCTTCACTTTTACCAAAGGATTGAAATTGGTCTCTTTTGGACTACAGTGGAACTCAAAAGGCCCAGATCATCTGATATCCATCTTTGAAACTATCAATCTGTCACAGCAAAAGCACTCAAAAATGTTAAGAGCATTTTAACAATGTGGGGGGAAATAAACAACTCATTAATCTAATCGAGGGATTACTGATATTATTTCTGGTGACAATCCTGCCTTCACTAAAGTCCCAAAACTGTGTCCTATTTCAAACCTATTAGCCTACTACCTAGCCTAATAGCACCATGCTGCAATCAAGTCATAGTTAAGAAGAACAAGGTTTGAGAAGAGAAACAAACATTTAAAGTTTAAAAACTAATGGCCTACTACTCTAAGTTCCAGAATTCAGCACACAAGCTGTTGATACCATAACTCTTCTTGGCCCCCTTTATAAAGAATACTACAATTATATAATTATTCCTGAATTCTGTCTCTTTCCCAATCTTGAGTTTTCATGGAGTCCTCTTGCCCTCTGCAAAGGGAGCTCTGGCAGGCCTTAAGGTGTTCTCAAGAATTAATATGATGACGATGGCTCTGAACTGCGAAGGTTTCTCCTTCCAAATCAGAAAACTGTATACTATATTATCAACAATAGTAATTTTTCTCTAAAAAATACAGTTACAGATGTTTCATACTTTACATTATATTCAAACATTCAACAACTGTTTGTCAGGCACTTACTAGTTACAAGAAAAAAATAATAAATAATTCAAGCAACTCTGCTCTTCAAAGTTTACATTCTAGTTAGGGAGGGGGAAACAAAAAGCAGTAATTAACACTATGAGGTTTTTTTTAAGTGATTTTAAAAAGATCAACTGGGAACTACTCCCACTACATAGTCACAGAAGACCTTTCTAAAGTATCATTTCAGCTAATAGGGAGGTACCATTAGATCATCAGAAAATCATGATGAGTTTTTCTATGCACAAATGCGTCATGACTTTCCAGACAACCCAACAGCTAGAGACATAAGTGATGGGGAAGAATATTCTAGAAAAAAGGGTAATAGCAGGGCTGGCCTCACAGCGCAGAAGTTTAGCAAAGTGCACAGGGAGCCAGATTCCACCTGTCCATCCACAGTTCAAGTGCCATCCTTTCATGCCAAGTGCGCATCCCTTCTGTCTCCTGATAGAATGGAGAAATGAAGGAAAAAGGACTGCAGCGTGACCAAGCCCATTAGAGGGTCAATTGGTCGGTCTCTCTCTCTCTCTCTCTCTAGCAAGTGCGCACTCCCTCTGGCATTAAAGAAATAAAAACAAAACAAAAAGGAATAATCTCAAAGGTCCTAAGGTTTGAAAGATAATGGTACTTATTTTTTTTTAATTTTTTGCCTTAGGGCTTGAGCACTCACCAGAAAGAGACAGTGGGAGGGAAAGTAAGAAATCACTTCCTAGGAGTATGGTCACACCACAGTCCCTTCTCTTCCATTCTCCCAGGATCTTGGGCATACCTGCACACACGCCCAGTGCGAGTTTCGAGCCACAGAGCCTGGGACTCAGACCGTAGTCAGCCATGTGGAGGCCAGTGATGTAACCGATATGCTATCTGCTAGCCCCAAGGATGGCACTCTGAAAGAACTAAAAGTATCTCTTGAGCCCCATCAGCATCAACTACTGATTCCACTCATTTGGACAAACGGTATTAATCAGCTAAGAAACAATGCACACAGGTTTCCTATTATTGCTACTACTGGAATAAATACTACCATAAATGTGTACAACGCTTTTCACAGTTATAGAAGTCTGAAAAACTAAGGCACAAAGAGAGAGAAATTCGATAATGTAATCATGTAAAAGGCAAAGCAATCTAAATTCACTCTACTCACAGGGAGTCCAAGCAATGTGCTGAGCACTATGCATTCATAACCATATTTCCTACTCATAGCAACCTTACAACTATCAGCTCAGTTTATGGATGAGTACAGTTATAAAGGAGTTAAGTACCTCGGCCAAGTTGGCCACAGAATATAGGCATGAAATCTGATTCTTCTGTGCTATCACAAGTATATTATGGTACACTGATTGTTCCTTAAAACTCCACTGACTGGAGCCAGCAGATGGTGTAGTGTTTACATCGCTGGACTCCCACATGGTCCACTGTATTTCGAATCCCAGACCCTGTGGCTTGAAATTCACACTGGGTGCATGTTCGTGTGCGCCCAAGATCCCAGGAAGAGAATGGAGAAGGGACTGCAGTATGGCGACCCCTCCTGGGAGGTGATTTCCCGCCTTCCTTCTCACTGTCTCTGTCTCTCTTTAGCCAGCACACACACTCTGAGGTAAAAACCTCTTTTTAAAAAACAAACTTAATTCTAAGAAAGCTCTTAGTAACCTCTGGACCTTCAATGGAAAACCTAAAATTTCTGAAGGAAATACTGACTTGAGCAAAATACCCAAAAGGGTATGTCATGACTTACCTCGACAGTCTCCTGATACAATTTTACTGTTCAAACTTCACAATATATTAAATCTGAATCTTATCTTCCCCTATTTAAAGAATGATGCACCTTTAGAGGTTTGGACATTATTAATCAGTATCTGGCTAAAGCAAATGGTTTTCAAAGTCTGGCAGTTTCCACCACAAATACCATTAATGTTGCAAGGTTAGAAACACACTTGTAACGATGTTTCCATCAATGATGGGCTGATAAAAACACCTATCAGTGCTCCCCAACATTTCTGGCACCAGGGACCAGTTTCATGGAAGACAATTTTCCCACTGACAGGTGGAGGACAGGGAGAAGACTTCAGGATGATTCAAGCTCATTATATTTATTGTGCACTTTACTTCTTTAATTATTACATTGCAATATATACTGAAATAATTTTACAGCTCACCATAACGCAGTATTTGCAGCCACTCCTCAGTGCTAACATCGCCTCAGCTCCACCTCAAATCATCAGGCATTAGATTTTCATTAAGAGTGTGCAACCTAGATTTCTCAAACGCACAGCTCACATTAAGGTTCTTGCCGAGAACTGAATGCCTTTGCTGATTTGACAGGAGGCGGTACTAAAGCAGATGAAGTTTTGCTCACTTGCCCCTGTTCACCTCCTGTGGGGCCCGGTTCCTAATAGGCCATGGACTAGTACACAAATCCTGCCCTACACATACATATACACATACACACACACACACACACACACACACACACACACACACACACACACACACGAGAGGTGGGGGTAGGTAGGGAGTGGGGAAATAGCAGGCAGCAAAGAAAGCGGAATGGGGAGAGTGTGTGTGGGGAGGGTGGATATCAAAAGGAAAACTCAAGGGACTACTTTTAGATGGCAAACTGCTACACAGTGCCTAAGCAGGGTCTCTCCCCGCCCCAAAACCAAATCCAAATTTATCACCAGTAAGCACACTGAGGTGTCTCAAGCAGTAAGAATTTTCAAAGATTTTTATGAAAGGACTACAATACAAGATTACTGAGTTTTTTCGTATCTTACTCAGAGAAGGCTACCAAAAGAAGAAGAAGGAAGAGAACTATAAAATATGACCCAATTTGATTACTGTCTATTTTTCTTGAGAAGAAGTAACAGTAAATATAGGAAGAGATAGGAAGTTTTCCCATCCCCTAGCAGAAAAGTCTTCTTAGGACAAATTACAAGAAGTAAAATTACTGAGTCAAAAGGCATGAAGACTTTTGTTACCGTTTTAAAAGTTCCATTCTGGGGCCAGCAGGAGGCGTGGTGATTAAGAGCACTAGACTCACACATGGCCAGCCGTGGTTCAACTCCCAAACCTGGCAACTTGCTTTCTCAGTTTTCCTCTCTCTCTCTTTGTCCCTCTCTGGTCAGGAAGAAA